AATGATAGTTATGATAGTTATCAATAGTCCTTTAGTTGACTCCAGGCTTCTCAGAGGTGAAGGAACATCGGTGACAAAAAGTCGAAAGGGGGGGGGGTGGAACAGAAGAATGATTCAAATATGTAAAGAGACAGACACAACGGTAGAAAAAAGGTGAGGTGGGCACTGTGGAAGTAGTCGAATATGACATACAGTGGAGTGGTGGTAGTTTGCTGTCAGAAGTCAACTGCCGGTTAATAAACTTTTTTGCCGTATGAGTATACATTGCCCAGGATGCACCACGTAGAGGTAGGTTTATCGCACACCCTAATTGTGAGGATATAGTTAATAGAAAGAGTTAGCAGAGTTTCCTGGCTAACGGAATTTTTGCTTTCCTTTTCACTTCAGAAATACGGGTACTATAGCTATCATGGATACCTTAGTGTTAATGGGGACATTCTGCAAGGTGCTATTTCAATCACTTCTGCTCCTTATTGTAAAGAAATGTTGAGTGCTGGAAGATCTCGTTGATCGGTAATCGCGTTGATGTCGATTCTCAATGGAATATATGTCATCCGACTCTACCTCATTCGCTTTTGTTATCTCTGTTCTACGCATTCTCACAGCAGTTATAGATCTACTATGCGTTTAATGTTTTGACGAATTGCAAGTACTATATTATAACACCAAAAAGGCTAATTATCAGGTTTTAATTTAAATTATACTGATTGGTTTTTATTAATTTCGCAGTACAAAATTAACGCATTATCATCGCAAAATGTCAAGGCCAACTTCCTACTGTCAAATTTTCTAGTAAACGTTGAAGTATGCAGAAGTACGAACGCAAATATTTCTACTGGTTAATTTTATTCCGATCACAAACAACATTCCGTAAGAAATGACTTTCTGTGTGTGGGATCAAAGACAGCAGTGAATAAATGCTTCAACCGTTTATCTTTGACCATCTCTTTAATATCCGGAGTCCAAGTTATATCCCCAAGGCGTGATAGTAGTCCTTGTTGAAAAGGCGCTCATATGCACGAATAGCAGAGGTGTCAGAATGCCTAACAAAACTTCTTCTTTCCATTAGAACAGCATAAACATTTACTTATATCAAATGGCAGGCGTTTTGATAGTTATCATTAGGATATCAAATGGCAGGCGTTTTGATAGTTATCATTAGCCCCATATCAAATGGCAGGCTGTTCCCAATTATTTATTTATTTATATCAAATGGCAGGAGTTTTGAAGATAGTTATCATTAGCCCTGTATCAAATGGCAGGCGTCTTGATGAAATAATATTTATTTATTTCAAATGGCAGGCGCTTTGATAGTCTATCATTAGCCCTTTAGCTGACTTCGGGCTTCACAGAGGGTTTAGCCCTTTAGTTGACTTCGGGCTTCACAGAGGGGAGGAATATCAAAGTGAGGAAAAGTCGAGAAGAGAAATAGAAGAATGAATCACAGACGTAAAAGCGATAGACAGACACAAAGGCAGAGAAAAGGTAAGATGAGTGCTGTGAAAAGGGTCGAATGTGACATACAGTGGGGTGATGGTAGTTTGAAGTGAGAAGTCAACTGCTGGTTAATAGACTATTTTGTCGTACGTGTATACGGTGCCTAGGGAGCACCACGTAGAGGAAAATCTATCGCACGCCCCCAGAACAGCATAAATAAGCGTTGACAATGGGCAGAAGGATATCTGGTTAGGAAGATGGAAATCAAATTAATAAAAATCGATATGAAAATTCGTATTACTCATTAAGTATTGCATTTGCACAACTGGGAAAAGTAATTCAGAAGAATGCGAAGACTCCTTGAAATGTTTATAAAGAGAGTAAATGATAGCACTTTGAAAGAAAATCTTCCGTTAATTTTATTATCTCATAAGTAAAATGAACGCATTCATGTGTGGGACACGCTATCGCTCTGTGCGTCATCGTATGCCTGCATGTCTGCTCGCCAATATTGGGATTTGCGGCCGTACAACTCTGTGTGCAGCTACCGTACAAACAGTAACCAATCATTAACCTCTGTTTAACCTAAACCCCCATCCTGATCATGAGCAGCTCCCTGTGTGTACACGTTATCCGCAATAACCCTACTGAATAAACGTGCTCCGTGCTACATGTCTGTTTCCTTTATAGCTGGGCTATAGCTTAGCTGGTTCTGGGAGTCTAGCTAAATGTTGGAGAATCTGCCATAGAGATTTCTGAGTCGGTCAGGCTTTACTAAGGTAGCAATCCGCTACACATGCAACAATAACGCAAATTTTAAATAATTCTACCATGTTAGGAATGCGTTTAAGAAATATAGAGTGCAAAAGGAATGGCCACTTTAAAATACAAATTGGTAAATTTTTGGTTATCTGTTTTTAAAAGGGAATAAGGAAAGATCCCACATCTTATGAGGTTTTTAGATGTGCCATAGACAACTGGCCTCGATTAACATCTGGTGATAAGACCATTTCCCCAGTATTCAAAGGTGGTGGCCCAGATGCGTATGTTCGAATTTGGACATGGATACCTACAGGGATGCATTCTGGCATCGCGACTCGATCCAACTGACGTCAAACGACAGAACGTCTTCTATGTAAAACCTATTTTATGTACAGACAAATTGAGGCGGCTTCCCAGACGCCTTCATATTGACTGTTATTCCTCCTATTTCTTTGATGTTACCTATCGTTCACTGTGCCCACTCAAGGTCATCCATATCATTATAACTTGAAATAGATATTTTATCTAGGAATTCCCCCGCGCTTTCTAAATTCCTTTGGGCTTAGTTGTGGGTCTTATTATCTCGAGTTTTACTAATTCTTAGGAGTCTATTGATCAATCTGGATATGCGCTCCGTCATTTGCGAACATCTTAGTGGATTGATTATTTGACACGTTATATAACACCTAAATGTCCAGAGAGCTGTATTCTCAAGCGCTATCTTTAAATGATGAATAAGGAAAACAGTTCGTTAAAAGGGCCGAATTCTATGTGTTAATCACTTGCTTCCTCTTTGTGGTAAATTTTCTAGTCCAAATCAGCCTTCTTTCGCAAGAACATCTGTTCCGGAAGCGGAAAACGCTACTTCCAGATTAGATGAAAGCGATTCCACGTGAACTTCACCGTGTGGTTGTTCCATTTTTGCTCCACGGGACTCAACTTAGATACAGTGACCAAGGTTGCATCAGAAGCAGAGATTGATGTTTTGGCTGATGTGCGCCCAAGTTGACCTCGATTAAATGCCAGGGCAAAAACACAGGATTAGAGATGCCACTCCCACTCCACTCTCTCACCCTCCCAAAAAAGCGCGCCACTGCCAATTATTGCAAATAAATCAATTTTGGAATGGGAAAAAATAGCAGATTTCCTTTTTAACAAATATTTTACCAATTTCAAAGCTTATTTTAATCGAATAGTACTTTGCCAATGATTAGCCAATAGACGTAAACTGGGAGTGTTGAGACACTGGCGAAGTACATCTGTTTTCTAGTTTCCAACTGACATATTGAAGTTGATGGGCGAGTGATGCGCGATAATAGGTATTCGCATTTTTTTCTTGGTACGTTACTAAGCTATCCCTAATATTTAATCAACTGCATTCTCTGCAAATAAGGAAATGCATTACTTAACTTCGGATCTGGATAAATCACTTAAACCAAGGTGGTGAGTTTGGAAAATGCCAAAATGTGTATTGAAGAAATGATCGGAAGATAACCTACACAGTGAAAGTAACCAAAGTAATCTCGAGATTACAAAAGTTTATTAAACAAATGGAGTAATGGTATTTCAGGAATGCAAAGTGGGAATGTGGCACTAATTCCAAGAGATCACGTTAGAACTAGGCATGTATGTAACCTACTAATAGTGAATCGGGACGAACATAGGTATACTGTCCATAGCACCATATGCAACTACCTTGACTATTTCCTCAATGGATGGAATAATTCCGCATTGAAGAAGACCTCGGATCGTATTTTATGAAAAGGACTGGTCCACTACCACCCAAGTTTGTTAGATAGGGATTTCACATAAAATCGCCTTAAAAATGGGACTCATTCAGTGTTGCTAACAAAGCCGCTTGCAAACGCTACATCACATTTTGATATAAAACCCTGCATATCTTGAGAAGAAATTACTGCCTTCATAACCTGGTGAATGCCGATTTCCTTATATACCAACACCCCCCCCCCCCCCTCCTCATGATATACAAATATTCCTCACTATAAACAGGCCTCACAACAGAAAATGCCATCAATCATTGGGACATTGACAAGTAGACGATCTTTATCAAGCAATTACATATCCCCAATGCCGAGAAAAATAAATAACTGGGCACAAAACTCATAAGCGGAGGATCAAATGGAATTTGATACCAAACATAAATATTGGCTGGCTCCGATAACGCAGAAACTTCCAACTTGACTTAGAACCCGTAGTACTTTCAGTATCTATGATTTAACCTTCTTAATACGGGGATTAAGTTTCGTAGAATAACGAAGGGCGATTACTTAACCATGCTTCTCTACACCACGCTAGTTATGTCCAAATAGAATACCTTCAAATAAGCGGTCGTTCAGGACCAAGATACACTCTGAACGATATTGGAGTCTTACAAAATAACTACTTGAGAAATTACCAGGAATCTTCAATTTGGTGCTGCTAAATAAAGCTTTACCGACCCGTTCTGCCCAAGTTTACTTTTTAATTCAAATGTGTACGCCCCAAAACACGTATAAAATTTACTCACAGCTTGATTGTAAAGTGAAAAAAGGGGAAATGCGGCACAAAATGGCTTTTTAAAGCAAACTTTCAAATTTACACAAAATTATTTGAATAAACTATTGCCACTTATTTAATTGCCGTAAAAGTACAAAATCTTCTCTACTTAAAAATAATTATTAGAACTTACACTAAGGTAAAACTACAGAACACTAAATGAGAGTTGCCATGAAGAAAACACGAATATGATCAAACAATTTTACTGTGAATAAAATATATACAAGCATCGAGAGAGAATAACTTTACTTCCGTTTTGAAGTTTTACCACGACCTTTACCTCCATTTGCATGTCGCGATGGACCGCCCTTTTTCGACTTCTTCACACGATCACTCTTCTTTGACTTCTTTCCTGATAACTTCGGGCGACCATTAGTTTTTCTACAAGAGAAAAGGTGATATAATTTGATCTTAAATCCATATTATATCAAAGTGGGCTTTCAAGTCCACCATGTAAATGGTATAATAGCATTTGGAGAGGAAATTATGGAGTAGCTTATGAGAATTGATAATTGGATGAATGCTAGTGGCTTAGACCAACTTCAATACATATCATCTTAGTAGATGGCTTGAAAAACGTACTGTTGCTATGGGGTGGTTTAAGGCTTAAGATAAACATACTCAGTCTTTTTAGCGACTTTCTGTTCATTAACGACCTCCGAGAATCGACCCATAGAAGCATCAGAGTGTTTCGTAATTTCCAAAGCGCGATTGAAAGCTTTCTTTGAGGGGTCAGCGTCAGTCAAAACACCGATAGGAGGAGCTACAAATGAAACGGCACAACATTCCAACACAAGAATTTGGAAAGGAAATGGAATAGACGACCAATAGCACTTACCCTGTCCTTTCTTGATCGTGCGAGAAATATTCTTCAATCTGTTGAATTCATTTTTGGCACGCTTCTCCTTCCGAGCGTTATTCAATTTTTCAAACTGATCTTCATATGGATCTTAAAAAGAAAGCAAATAAGAACAAAGGATGACTTTACCAGCATTGTCAGGAACTTCAAGAACCCATTTGTCTTTGACAGAGTCAATACGATCCTTGCCCCATCTGGGCTTCCAAGATTGGGTAACATCATCCCAAACCTTTCTGGATTTTTTCTGCTTTCTGATCCCCTTCATTTGAGAGAATCGCTCCCATCTCGACATCTCCCGTTTTTTGGGAGGTGGCTTCTCACGCGGTAATCTGAACTTGGGATCGGGAAGCTTAAAAGTGAGCATGTAAATAGAAACCTACGCATGCAACTTGAATTTCATCAAAAGTTTCTGTCGGGAGCCTCCAGAACTCTTTCAAGAAATGGTGAACGCAATTTAATGACAGTTTTTTTATATAACCTTTGTTACTAAATTGATAAACCAGATAAAATAAATCTTACACGTCGTTTGGATCGATTGCACCTTTATCCTCGTACAAAAGGTTACCCAAATCTATATCAGCAACGAGCGGCCTGTTCTCTAACTCCATGTTATAGCAGGCGTGAAAAATTTGAAGAAGCTGGCGCAAGATTAACCCATTTAAAGGGTTAGTAAGACTACCAATTATTTATCTTCAGAAAAATAATTTAAAAATATTTAAAAGACACATCAAATTGATTTTTGCACTTATTGCTGCCAAATGTCAGTAGTCAAGCTTTCAAAGTGATATTTTTATCCAACTTTGTTGCATTATATCAATTATCATATTAATTGAAAGTCAACTATGTACTATACTTCAACATATTTTCATCTTAATTTTTCAAAGGTTCAATTAATTAATTCCCTAAGTTTTTCCTAAATTAACCTAGCAGATAATCTTGTTCACTTTATCCTAATTTATTTCAGCTCAATTCTTTAATGGAAAACAACATGGTATGACATATTAAATTTCATGTAATTGATTGATTTTCAATAATATATTCGTATTTTATTGTCTCAAAAAGCACTTTGTTGTTTACAATTTGTCAATATTTTTGTTTAGCACTAAGTTACCATTTATGAAGGAACTGTTTGAAGGACAAAATCGGACTATTCAACGATAGGAGTATTGCTTTAAGGAGGAAACGCGATCACGAATAAATTTACCTCTCGACCAATAAATGATCAATAGCCATTACAAAGTCACTGTACCCTAACAGTATTCAAAGGTAAAAACTTCATGTTAACTCCCTGTTCCTTACCCACTTCTCGCACAGAACCCAAATAAACGCATTTATTTTCACAAATCTTCTTTCACTAAATCATTGAGACAAGGAAGCTAATTCCGGTAGCATAAGTCATTGACCATTCGTGTAACAAACCGCTACAACCGTC